ACAATGTAACATTAATAAATAAACTGCTTTATTAATCTCCATTAATAAGAGAGAAGATATCTTCTACTACTCTCATAATTAAATGTGTAAAATGAGTTAGGTTGGCTTATAGGGGCCTACGGCCAAATCTATATTAGATCAGACTCGACCTATTATATATAGTCAAATAGAATAGACATAGACTTTAAAAAAAGTATATTTCAAATACAGGCCATAGACTTTCTCTTACATGTCGGACCTATAAACCTACAGATCGGCCTATATAATAATATTTATTTTAAAGAAAATAAATAAAATTAATATTTTAATGATTTTGAATAATAAAGTATTATTATTTTAATTATTAAATATTTAATAGGCTTAAACAGGCTAACAGATCTAAACAAAGACTTTTATTTTTTTGATATAGGTCAGACCAGGTTAGGCCTAAAGTATTTTACACAGGCTTAGTCTATTTAAGTCAAAGTCTAACCTAGCCTATATACACTCCTACTCACAATAATGCCGTGGGACTCATATAATTATAAAAAATAAAAAACAAAGCTGAAGAATTTTTTTCTCTGCTGGAAAGTAAACTCATCTCTTACAGCTGAAGTGTAGTTTTTCCCATAAATAAACTAGGGTAACATTTTCTTTTAACCAACATTTTCAAGTAGGATCTTAAGAGAATATATTATGAGCTTGTTTGGATCCTCTTATTTTTAAGTTAGAAGCTACTTATAAGCTAAAGCTAAAAAAAAAAAACTTAAAAAAAGAAGCTAAAAGCTGTTTGGTAATTGCATAAAATATTCAGTTTAAAAAGTACTTAAAAACACATGTTTCAAGAAAACTATTTCTCTCTCTATCTTTATAACTCTTAATTTAAAAAAAAAAAAACACACAATTCAAGAAAAATAGATAAGAGCTTAAAAAAAAGTTTCTCTTAGGAGCTTTTAGTTTTTAGCTTTTTTCGTCATTATAAAAAAAGAGTTTTTCATTATAAGAGTTTTTCTCAAAACCTGTTTAACCTAATTTATGCTTATAAGTAACTTATAGCTTCAAAAGAAGAACATCCAAACAGTCACTGTATCTAGAAATGATAAATAATGAACTTACCTGTTTTTCTAAGGTTGAATCATGACTTACATTAAAATTCATGCCCAAAGCAGTATGGCTTCACGAGGTAAAAGTCACTTTTGATTTATTATAATATTTTCATGGCCTAATCGTTTGATCAACTTTTGACAATTTTGGGCATATAAGCAAAAGACGGAGATTTGAATAAACTTTATGTGAAAGGCGTGGAGGGATACTCCTTTAATCAAGTATTATTTATGTTTCCAAAAGCTTTTAAGTCGGAAAGTCAGAGAATAATTATGTCTTGCTTTCGATACTTGTTGAACAAAGAATTCAATCAGATTAATTCCTAAGCTACTTCAGTTCTGTCGTCTTCTTCTCCTTTCTTAGTGCAACCATAGCTACAGGAGCCTTTCTCTCTCTTGTCTAGATATTTCTAGGTTTGGCCTTCAAACCTAAAAGCACAAAACTGTGACGTTTATGCATACCCATTTCTTTATTTTTATTTTTTTATAGAATAAAGCTCCATTTACGTCACAAACAAAAGATACGATTTTCATTTTAGTCTCTTATAAAAAAACTTTCATATACATTTTTTTTAGGGACTAAATTGGGTCTTCATTGAATTTCTGAGAGATCACATTTTCAAAGAACTAAAATTATAGAGGATCAAAAGTTAACTTTTTTTTAAAGAACGAAAGTGAAGACCGTATTTTTTGTTAGGGATCCAAAATGAGCTTTACTTTATTTTTAAAGAGTAAATATATAATTTCATTGGTTACTTATGTTAGACGAAAATTTTGTAGATGAAAACAACAAAAACAATATCTTTTAGAGAATACATATTCTATTTACTCTTTTTAAAATTATTTTTTTATAATTTGCACAATAATTTAGAAATAAATATTACATTTTACACTTATATAAATGAGGTAGGATCCTTTGACACCAGTGTAAAATTTGAAATTTGACACCTCATCTGATAGTCATTAGATAAAAAAAGATCAATGGTGTCACATGTTTACAAATCAGAGTCGTTAATCTTTTTTGATCTAACGACTCTCAGATGAGGTGTCAAAGGATCCTACCTCTATATAAATAGTCATATGCAAGAACTTATAAAATAATTTAACATCATTTAAATCTTAGTTGAATTAACTCTACATTACATTTAACTTTTTGTTTGGTACAATTTCATGCATATTCAATATAAAAAATTAGTTTTTATAAGGTTTTCTAAAGATTCATTTGAATTAGAAAAACGGATGAACATAGCTAATATTATTTTTAATTGTTGAACGAAATTATAAAAACTAGCTATATAAATTGCTTAAACCTCTGTTTGCTTTATAATAATTGATTGTATTATTGACAAATACTAAATTGACACTAACGAATTTCTCCTTTTTTTTTTCTTTTCTGTTGAACACGAAGAATCATCATAACAATCACAATGTGTCTTGAATGTTAGTCAATGACACAAACACTGTAAAGGGTACTGTCATTATTGGAGACTAGAAAGCCTAGCTACAACAACTAGGGAACATTGACTATATTGGCCATTTTGGGAGGATCTTATACTAATATTCTACTACGAAAGAATCCAACTACACACCAGAATTGTAATGTCCTCTATCATACTATCATTGTCATGGTCTTTTCTTTGGTTATGTCTGGGGAGCACTCTCTGCATGCAGCATCTTAGGAACGAATAACAATAATTACAGTAATAGCTGTCCTTAGCTTTATCAGCATATATAATTATCATGTCTTCAGCGTCTAAAGGCTGCAAAATTATGAACCAGTGGAAAAATTAATGAAACCACACACCCTTGTTTGTCATCTGTAAACGTTTCTCACTCTATCATATATTATTGCCTTTTTTTGTTTTTGTTTTATATAATTTTCATGTAATTACTGATTTACCAATTTCAATTTAAGTGTAGGGAATGTTTTAAATTATAGTTGCAACTTGCAATTGAATTGTGATTACATAATTATGAATACTTGTGGAAAAATACAAATATTGTAGTCAGAATTGCGAGATTCCGTTTCAATTATGAAATTTTTTTATACCACAATATTATGACCATAATGGCAATTGGTAACCGTGACTTAAAATCTTGAGTGTATAAATTCTTAAAAATATTATGGGACTAGATTTTCTTAATTAAAAATAAATATAATCTGATTATAATTCAAGAACCCGCAAACAAAAAACTACAATAAGCATGTACGATACACACTTATTCATATCCTTAATCAAGATTTAGATACAAAGTAATCCCACGTAAAACAAGAAGGTAAGAAGGTTGAACCAATAAAGTGAAAATTAGAATAACAGAAAAGTTTTCAGTCTCATTTGTTTCCATATCAGTTACAATAATAATGTCCCAAAGACTTACTCTTTATTTTTGCATTATTGGAAAATCTGTTAAGAAGTCAGTACAAATTTTCTTATTTTGTACTATTAAATACGTACCTCTTCCGTTATAGCTCTAACTATATTCAATTGTTTAGAATAAGGGATTTTTCGGGTTCATTTTATAAAAAATATTAATCAAAAAAATATTCAATATGGACTCAATCTCAGTGCATGTTTGGATCTTCTTATTCTTAACTTCTCTTCTACTTATAAGCAGAAGTTAAATCAAACAAGTTTTGAAAATAATTTTTTTTTTATATAATTAAGAAATAAAGCCAAAAATTCTTAGGGGAAGTTTTTTTTAAGCTCTTATTATTTTTTCTTAAATTATGTATTTTTTTTAAATGAAAAGCCATAGAAATAGAGAGAGAGAGAGAGGATTGTTTTTTTTGAAATATGTGTTTTTAAGCTAAATTTTTTATGTAATAATCAAATAACATTTAGGTTTTTTTTAAGTTTTTTTTTTTTTTAATTTTAACTTAAAAGTAGATTCTAACTTAAAAAAGAGAGCATGCTCTTAGTCACAAATTAATTGTCACAAATTAATTGAGCTCAGTTTCCATGACTCCACTAGACAGTGCTTTCCGATTCAAAGGGAACAGAGCATATATAAAAATAGAATATATGCCAAAAGTAGAGAAGGTTGCCCATACTACAAGAGCTTCATGTTATTCTAATAGCATAAGGGTTATTATATCTTATTTGCAAAGAGGTACATACCTCAATATTATTTGATCAGACAAATTCCTTCCTAGTCTCCGCTCACGGATTGTGTCCCAAAACAGAGCACATGCTTCAATTGGTATAAGCATATGCATATGCATATGCTTGAGTTAAAGCTAACGCCAACTTAATGTGTGCTTTTCTTTCTTCAGCCCCTACCAAAAAAGATAATGGTCCATGGAACACCATCCACTTCTTAATTCAAAATTAGAAAGATGGTGACACGAGTGGCAAAGTGTGGTGGAATGATCTTAGCTAGATATATATGCGTACCACACTAGGCTAACCTTATGCCACATTTCTCATGCTGCTTTCTGTAGGCCAACAATAAAGTGTCTTAAAGTTGCAACTACTACATGTATCTCACCATAGAGATTAAACAAATGGAAAATACTTTCAGTAGTCATATACTACTGAGTACTTATGTAAAATATAACTCATTTAATAAATTTTTTTTACTGATTAATGCCACAATCCCCTTTTATTTCTACTTTTAGTAAAGAACCACCTAAGATATGCTCCAAGGAAAGATTTATTCTGCATCATCTTTTTGGAAATTGTCTAAACATTCAATATAGAATCAGCACTGCTATTTATCACACAATAAATTGTTGGCTGAAAAACTATCTTGCAAAATTTTGGATAGAGCCATGAATTTTAAACCCAAGCAAATCCCAACTCTGGGATTTGACATTTTAAGTTTAACTGATGCATTTTGTTTTACCATCTTATCTTAACAACATTGATCAAAGTTTACAAAATAAGAAAGACTCATGCATAACCTGAAAAGTGGAGAACAAACTTATTTCCTATCCCCTTCCATGTTTGGGTGGTGGAAACTGAGAAAACAGAATATAACACAAACGACTAAATTACAGAGATACACCACATTGTACAAGCAGTAACAAGCACAAAACACAATAAAGAGACTCATAATTCAGATTATACTGCACATGATAGAACACAACCCAAAAGAAAAGTAATGTCAAGCCAAGGAAAGGAGACCAAGCCGGTTCATGGTTTGCTTCATAAGAGGTAACACATATGGAGCCAGCATACGGATAACGCTTGGTAAGGTAGGGTAGGTTAAAGTGCCAAGAATAAACCAATTGAAGCTTAAAAGAGCAACTGCGTCAGATGCAGGTTTGTTCTTAATGATGGAGAAAAACTTCACCACACTCCTCAAGGACATGCCTACCACGGTAAAGAGAGCTACAACAAGAGGCACGCAAGGGTCTTTAGCTTCCCACACAATCACACCAACTACAAGCGACAAAAAGGCACTGAAAAGTGATTGTGAAAGAGCAACCTCTCGACGATGATCAAGTACTTCTCTCATTTTTTCATCTTTTGAGATCTTTTCAGGTTTAACTCGGGGAACAGATTCAGTTTTCAAGAGTTTAAGTAACTCACTTCTAGTTTTTCTCTCATCTTCCCAAATGTCATCGCGCTTTAGCAGATCTTGAAAGGCTTTTCCAGTCTCATTATAATTGGGTTTCCTTGACCGGATAGGACGGGGAATGCTAGAGCTACCTTCATCAGTGTTTTTGCCATTGTCAATGATTTGTTTATCTTTGGAGCTCCAGTATTTCTTTCCCTGAATCTCTTTGAGCCGAAGATTTTCGTTTGTCTGATCCCGGGACTGTCAACATGACATATGTAACAAAGCACCAAATCAGTAAAAGCTTTGTACATGGATATAATAACAGAAACTTAAATTCCCACTTCACAAAGCAAGTTGAGAATTAGACAGAACAATGATAGTAAAAAACAAATAATTTTGGCATGTTATCTATTTTTTACACAATCTTGAACCCATAGCATCTTAACCAAGTTTCAGGACAACCTTTTAATCCAATGGAACTGTTGCAAACTTCAGAAATCTTAAATTAGAGAAGTGCGGGTGTCATTTTCTAGTAAAATCTTATCTCGCTTTTGCTGATGATATGTCAATCTTGACATTCTTATTAATTCACCAAATAGTTACACAAGAATAATACTGATTTTAATTTCTGATCATTGCAGATGTTAACATATTGTTCGTTATTCAATGTCAACCAGAAGCTAAGTCTATACATCTAGGTACACTTAAAACAGTCTTTGAAGGCTCTTTTAAAATGTATTCTGATTTCATAGTTTACAGACTTCCAGAAAGTGAAAACCTTAATCATAATTATCAAGACATTACAAATTACAGACTGGGATGTAAATTAAAAACAGTAGCCTCTGTGTCTGTTACTCTGTTAATCTATTCGACTTTTAAATGCAAAATGCAAAGTTTATCGAAGAAAAAAAAATTACTAAGAATTTAGCAAGTTCTCCTTATGCCCGCAAAGAAATATCATAAGCTCAACAGTAAAAGGCTATCAACAGGTAGCATCAAGTAAGTGATAAATTCCAACCCTCAGGTCATTTTGACAGTTGCATAGATATGTAAGTTACAAGGCAAGCACATGGATATAAAATATTTACCTTACTCTCTAACTTTTCAATTTTTGCAATGGCCATATCATGTTCCTTTTCAACCTCTGCTACTACCAACTCCATCAACTTGCGTTCTTTGACAGCCATTTCGAGTTGTTCTTGAAGTTCCTTCTGATCCAATGCTCGTTTCTCCAGTTCTTTCTGCATTTGATGGAGTATTTGTTCCAGCTGGATAACAACATAACCACCATTGGATCTAAAAACATTTAAGATAAACTTCATGCTTAGGGGGAAGAATAAAAGGTGGAAGCCAGTAGCCACAAAGGGTATAGGGAAATTTACCAGTGGGTCTAAAAGCACCAATCTCCCCAACCCCCGTTCCCATTACCTTTCTTAATAACTAGGATGAAGCTCAGATAAAGGGTTAAAATTGAGCAGGTGTGCAGTTTTGGTTTACAAATCAAGTTGAAAGAAGGGGAAGATGGGAAAAGGGATAAGACACTCCTATCTGGATAGAAGCTTATGAAGCACCAACACCCCGACCTATCAGGCCAGATGCCTATAAAGTACCGACACCAACATGAGACGCGTAACAAGTTTAAATTTCGACACGTACAACACTCCGATACATCAATTCTAATTTATTTTTTTTAGATTTCGACACTTTAGAACACGTTTTAATATTAAATATTTTTAATATATATAGTATGGATTACATTTCATATTCAATAACTTAACAAAAAAATAAAGCAAAACTGATTATATCCATTAATTTAATAAAAAAATAAAAGAAAATAAATCATTTTCATAATTCCATTACATTAATAGAAAGCAAAAATAATAGAATATCCATAGAAAACCGTAAGTTATGTAGACTACAACACAATAAAAGTTCAATTATTTTCTTTTAATGGAGCATTTTCATCTTCACCACCTTTATGAGAATATCATCTCCATCTAGAAAAACACTTGACTCCATCTCATGCTCATCAAGTGAAAGACTAACAACTTCAAGAATTCTAACATCTTCAAATATATAAAATCTATCTCCACCAACTTCAAGAATTCTACTTGACTCCATTTAGGGATTATTTGTAATTTAATCTTTTTTTAATTTTTTATTATATGTATATAAAATTTTTGAACAATTGTGATTTTATTTACAAAAAATACCATTTGACCATGTCTGACTTGGTGAAACATGCATGTCGGATTGGTCAAAATGTCGGAAATCGTTGACCGTGTGTCAGATACGGAGAGTGTCCATGTCTGACTTGTATCGGTGACTCTTCATCAAATTTTGTTTTAACATGTTCATGCTTTCTAGACAGATGCAACAGGCGAAGAAATATGCTCACAATAGTTTTGAACAATTTTCAGTCAGTGCGTATTGTTAACCTAATAGAACAATATTTTTACATTTACTTCAGCCTATCAAAGGTATGGTTCCCTATAGTGCTCCGCCCCTCCACCACCTTTTCTCTTTACTTTCCTTCTCCCATCTCTTAAGAAACCAAAGCAGCCTCACTTTTTCTGCTTTATTTGACAGCCTTAATGTGTTACAATTGTAGCATGGATGATCGTTACGATTGTAGCATTGATGACTACAATTGTAACACATCAATGCTACACTAGTAACCATCATTAATGCTACCCTCGTAACACATTAATACTACAATCCTAACATTTATTTCCTGTTCCTGTGGGTGGTTTAACTAATCTGATCTTTATATTTAGTGCTAAATCTTCTATCAGCACGTATTATGCAGTAAGAAAGGGAAAATATTGGAATCTAAATCATCTATGTAATTTCGAGCAAAATGAATTGTATTACGCAGATATCAAAACCTGTAATTGCAAATTAAATCATCTTATAATTTAGGGGAAAATGAATTGTATCCATAAAATGAAACAAATAAAACCAGAGAGTGAAAATTAACCTGCCTCTCCCTTTGAAAGTAATTCACAACTCTTGCAGGTAGGGAGACTAACCCAAATGTCCATGTGATAATTAAGCTAATTGTAGCCCCGAGCAACTCCATCCAAGTATAAATGACAAGTAATGCAGTTCTTATACCAAATAAGCATGCCAGTTTAAGTAGAGAGAAAGGCCATGTCACCAAGAGTATTACGTTAGCCAATAGCTCAGAAATCAATGCCATTAATCACTAAAATGAGTGCTCTTCCTCCTTAATTATTACTGGTTCAAAAGTTCCATAGTGTTGCACTGATACAGAAGATCACAGCATCCTGCAATATCAATAAATCCATATGAAAATATTATAGACTACACGGAGGATTAAACAACTGTGGCCGTCACAATCGCATCAGGCTGGGATTGTGGACTGCATCAGCTGCAATTAGCCGCATCAGCCCAAAATGCAACCGTGATTTTAACGCCACCACAACCTTTGGTGCAAATAAATAAGTAGAAATTTTTTAGCTATATAACTAGACTAAATAGAATTAAGCACATGCCCTAGGAGGAAACGGCGCAACCCTAAGACTTTATATTATAAAAAGGAAATGCATGTCACATTACAACTGAATAGGTTTTTATTAGGAAACTTGATGGCTTCCAGTGTTTACAACTCGAAATATTGAAAATTCAGTGTCATTCAAATTTTTAGCCTTGGTTTTAGCAACACATATCATTTTAATTCCAAACATTAATAAAAAAACTAAATTTTCCAAGTGTTGCCATGGTGGAGAGATTTCATTGCAGAAAACTACAATCTATAAACAACAAACAACATTGAAAACCACAATCTATAAACAACAAACAACTATGAAAACTACAATCTATAAACAACAAACAACTATGCGCTTGTTTGTTTCACTTGTTTGTTTCTCCTTTTGGTGAAGACAAATGGACGTTCAGTGGTAGGAAATACATTGCTCCTTCAGTCAAAAATGCAGCCGACAACTAAAATAAACTGGCCAAATGTCCAGCAAATATAACAAAGCTCAGAGTCTTACAATCTTCTATTGAAGTTGCAGCTGGACATATATGAAGCCTTCCACTGGTCCCCCAGCCACACATACATACAGAGGTGCATCTCATTTCAAAAGGCCCATTTCTGTTTGTACTAATACAAATTATTGTAAATATGAAAAATATCTGTAATATTTGTTTCCATTATTAATTAAATTAGTGCTTCCTTATTTTTAGGATTTGGGTTTATTCCTTTTGGTCCATTAGTCTTTCTATATATATATGTACTCCTTTGTATATGTACTCTTGAGAATCAAAAATATTTTTTTTTAATTTTTTTCCTTTCAAGTTGGTATGAGCCTTTTGCTTCCACAGCCACCACCTCTAGTGTGCATCCTTCTTTACATCTACATCCAAGTCACTGCCTTCAGTGCAAATCGCCTTGCATAGTTGTCATGCCTCAACTTTCGGTCACTTTTCCAGTCACCAACCACCACTGGGATATTTTTCTGGTCACTTATTCCGATTAAGAAGGCAACTTTTTCATTCATAATTTCCCTATGGCACCCTTGCATCTCATAATTGCTCCAAGCGCCTCCACACACACCAAAAAGTTGCAACCATCGCTTTTCTCTCCGCCGATCACTTTTTCGGCCTTTTTTCAGACCAGTCCAGTCCTAGATTGACCTGAACCTAAAAGCTCATCACCGGAAACAGCCGCACACGCCCCATACACCTCCAGCGTTGTCATACTGCAGCTCACGTGATGGCGCATAAAGCATCCTTTCGGCCGTTGCTCACCATCACTGTGCTTGCCTTGCCCTCCTCTTTCCATATCTATCTTCATCTTTTTGATCTGACACCGTTTGGGTCGTGGGTCTTTGCTTTGCCATAAAGCCCAATTTTTTTGGGTCGTTCAGGCTTTCGATGCTCAGATCTGGCATTTTTATCGCTGTTTGGGGAGCTCCAATAACTCAAGCAAATCAACACTCTAGTTTGTGGATCCTTATAAATACCTTTAATAAGACCTCTTACTCTCAGGCTATTATTGATAAGTACACATGTACTCAATATTTTCTGGCTTCTGGAAGAGATTTTGATAGGTTATCGATTGTTGACTCTAGTGTGACTAATCATATGACTTGTCAGCCTGATACCTTTATCTCTTATCAACCGATCGCTAGTATTCGTATAATAACTGTCGTTGATAGATCCATGTATCAGTTGCGGGTTTTGGTACCATTCAAGTTCAACCCTCCTTACATTTAAAAAATGTTCTCCATATTTCCAAAATCTCTTATAATTTTCTATCCATTCACAAACTTAACACTGGTTTGAATTGCCTCGTAACATTCTTTCCTACTCGTTGTGTCTTTTATGATCTCACCACAAGAAGGACGATTGGAGATGCTAAACAACAGGGTAGATTGTACTATCTCCTTCAAGAACATGTTGCAAGAAGTGCCCGGGAACAACTTTCGGAGGCTTATAACCAATCCACTTAAGAGTCTATGATTTGGCTTCATCATAAGCGTTTGGAGCATCCACCTTTTAGCCTTCTCAAAACTTTGTTTCACTTCATTATGATGTCTCTAATCTTACAAAACACCATCGCACATCTTTTCCCTATAGCTCCGTAAAAAGTATGGAATCATTTGATCTTGTTCACTCTGATGTTTAGGGATCATATAAAGTACATAATATCTTAGGTGCTGAGTGATTTGTTTCATTCATTGATGATTGTACTCGGGTAATTTGAATTTTAATAATGAAAGACAAGTTACACGTGCCACAGTTAGTCATCCAATTCTATCACTTGGTTAAAACCCAATTCGGAAAAAAAAAATTAAAAGACTATGGACTGATAATAGCACTGAATACATCAACCAACAACTCTCATATGTATAGATACCTCTCAATAGAATGGGGTTGCTGAGAGGAAAAATTGTCATCTACTTGAAGTGGCAAGAGCATTACTTTTCTAGACATCGGTTCCCAACTCTTATTGAGGAGAGTTGTGATGACTGCAACATATTTGATCAACTAGTTACCCTTTTGGATTCATGGAAATGTAAGTCTTATTCATCTCATGACCTCTCTCTTTCCATTTGTCCCTATTATGTAGAGCCTTCAGTCTCGCGCCTTTGAGTGTGTTGCATCCGTCCATGTTTAAAAACAATACCATGGTAAATTGGATCCCCGGGCTCTTAAATGTATCTTCCTAGGATATGCCCCCAACAAAACAGGGTAAAAATGCTATCATTTTGTCTCTATGGATTTAACTTTTAATAAATCTGAGTCATTTTTCACTCGTACTTAACTTCACGAGGTTACAAGTTCATAAGCTTTGTCCATTTTTTTCAAGTTTGAGTCCCACTTACCTTTCCCCAAACCTCTTGAGCCAGATTTTATTGAATTTTGCCCAGTTACTACACTATATAATAATGAGCAAGAAGACTTAGTTGACTAGGCTCATATTGAGCAGGAAGACTAATGGAACCACAATTTACTACACATGAATTCAAGAAACAAAAATGGAGACAAACTCCTTACAATCACCAATCAAAGAAATAAGAACTACAATGGTTGATAACAACCTTGAAATAGAAAATAGAAATGCGAAGAAAAAACCCAGAGGATGACCAACAACGCTATCACCCCTAATTCCCCAAATTACTCAATACATGCATCCGTTACTCCACGGATTCCCCTCCTTTTATTAGCTGCCCTTTTTCCAAGAATATTCTCAATGAATACTTTATAACTAACTCTCTTCCTTTTATCTCTCCTCAACCACCCCAATTTAGTTATTACTTTTAGCAAATACTTTTGATGCCCATCAATACTCCTCCTGCAAAATTTATTTTGTCCTCAAGGTGAAAGAGGATGGCAGAATTTTCCACAAGTGTGTGAAACTCTTCCACCTAGATGTTATTGCTTGAAGCATATTGACCCAATTGGTAGTCTCAGTTCTTGAGCAATATGAGTGGCCAAAAAATTACATGATGCCCAAAAATCCACCAAGATTTTCATTTTATTTCCCTGAACCTCACCCCAAAACTTCAACAGATGGTTGGAAATAAGACCCACAATATTATGGACACTTAATTGAAGAGTCCCGTCTTCCTCTATGTCTTCACCATCACAGAACTGACCTCCATCTTCAAGCTCGAGTTCACAGGTACCAACAACCATGATGTGGAGGTGCTGATCCGGTGCAAATAGCGTGTTGCACCAGAAGTGGAGGTTGCACCATCACTTTTCATTGAGCTCTTCTAGTGAAAGGTGACGAAATTTAGCTCCTCTTCCACTGCCATTCAAATTAGGGTTGTGTTTGCCAGAGTTCCCTCCCCTAATATTTGTGACACTAGCCTCTAAATGTTGTCCTTCTGAAGACCCAAACCCAGCATTACTCTTGGTCCATTTGTTTCACTAGTGCCCATTGCTCCAGGCCTACTACGATGTGAGTAACTGGCGTGTGTGGGCTGCGGTGCAGCATAATTAGTGACCTTATTATTCAAGGCTGGGCATGTGTTATATCCAGCTACTGAATTAGGTCCGCATCCCACCTTACCCGCAAGAGATCTGACCCTAGCCCTTACTTTCTCCCCTTCCTCTACTATTTGTGTGAGGATTGTTATGCGACCCAAATTAGTTAGGTTATGGAGACGCAACTCAACTTTCATTGTCGCCTTTCTCCTTCTTCCTTTTGCTTTTATTTTTCCCCATTTTCTTGTTGGTATTCTTTTTCTTCGACCTCCACTTATTCTTCTTCATATTCTTCGCTTTCTTCCATTTCTGCCAGAACCTTGCCATTGAAAACGTGTCCCACCATGACTTTTACGGTTAGAGTCTCCTTCTCTACCCACGCATATAGGATTTTCAACATTTTTCGTATTAGTGTTGTGACTTTTAACATGCTAGTTTTCTCCAAATTTGCAAGATATCGTTGCATGGTTTTTATTCCCTCAAAGATCTAGATCAGAAACACCCTTGATCTGAAGTGCTATGATACCAAATTGATGAAACCACAATTTTTTGAACTTGAATTCAAGAAACAAAAATAGAGACAACCTCCTTACAATCACCAAATAACGAGATAAGAACTACTGTGGCTGATAACAGCCTTGAAACAGAAAATAGCATTGAGAAAAAATAAACCAGAGGACTACCAGCACTTCCTCTCACCCTCCCTAGTTCCCCAAATTACTCAATACATGCATCCTT